GAGAACGGGTTTGGCACCGCGCCAAACTCATCCCGCCTGACACGCCCCCTTGCCCGCAGCGAACTAGATTATACACAGCAGAAACCTTTGTGAGCTCTCCTTCTTTGAATGTTCTTGCGATGCATTTCTCCTGGCAAGCTGCCGTCATCCGACGGTACATATCCGACATCATTTCCATTTCCAATTCGGCAACCATGGCCAACTGCTGATCGGTCGCCATCGTTCACTGCAAAAAAAATGGAATCAAATGAACTAGATAAGAAGTACTGCTCAAGCAGAAAGAAACAAATTCGAAATTAGAAATGAGGAGGTCCCCATCAGAAGCATAGCCCCGTCACGCATGGTGTGATCACAAGGGCAAAACTGGCCCCTAGCCATAACTCGAACCTGAACCTCACGCCTATTGGGTTTGCTGAGAGAGGAAGCCATTGAGCTAAAGAGATGGAAGGCGGTCTAATGGTGTAATGATTAGCACATACTTTACAACTGGTTCAGGGTTTAATAACTGGTACTTTCGGTTAGCAGGTCATTAATGGTGATGCTCAAGATGAGACAAGCGCTGCACTCAGCAGTTTTGGGTGGGGAAGTTAAAAGAATCAAAATTTTGAATTTCCCAAACAAATAACGAGCATGCTAATTATCCCTCTATTCATTCTGGATTATATATCGTGACCTTAAAAGACTATTCTGAGAGTTCCATATAGTAACTGGCGAAATATTGCAACACTGTTATATAATCCACGTGCTGATCTGATTCTCACACATAAGCAGACAGAAAAGTAAAAAGATCGCACGTGTGCTACTTTCACAAGAAGGTTACAATTCCACTTCAATTCACAGGTAAGTTTCAAAAAAAAGCGATGTAAGGGCGCGAGATGGGTTAGATAAATAAAAACACTGCGGTGGGGCTTGATAATGCGAACCCGCAATCCTTCTTCACCCCGCTCAGTCCTGCGATAACCAAGGACTAGTCAGAATGTACGAGGTTTCGCCCTTCAGAAACGTTACCTTTTCGTTTCGTCGGGATTGTCTTCTTCAAAGTCTGAAGGGATCGAAGCAATTAATGACAACGCGACCAAACGTATCCACCACCACAGAATTTCGGTCATAACACAGCCGTAAGAAGCTTCAGCTCGAGGTGTAAGAACGAGAGTCGCACTGCTATATGGCGAAACCCGCTAGGTCAAGGTGCAAAATACCAATCGTAGGTAAGTGTAAGTGGCTTATGTGATCACTTATGTCGATGTCGAAGTTCAGTAGGATGGTGGTGACATTTGGGCTGGCGGTCATAAGATGTCGCGGATCGCGACTCTGGTCGCCGGGCGGCCGTGCGCCTGGGCTCTGTGGTGCTCTAATGCCAGAGCCGCGCCGCGAGCGAGGGAAGCCGCGACGCGGGCCACGCCCCCAGGCGGCGCCTTATAAGGCGGCAGGCTGGCCAGTCGGTGCGTTCTCTCCCTTCGGGAGGAGGGGAGCGCCGGGCACTTCGGTGCCGCAATGAGGCCCGGAATTGCGTGTGACCGGGCACAACTGCCACTGGCGGGCAACTGGCGGCAGCTCGCACCTGTTAGCCCGGAAGGTGCGACCGGCTGTGGGCAACCACAGAGCGCCGCTTGTTATCGTCGTCTCCAGTATCAGATGGATGGATGGTCGACTCCGTGAGCTGGCAGGAGGACGAAGAGTAGGCCGTCAAGTTGTATGGTTAGGAGACAATAAACGTGAGTTATTATAATTGTGTCGGACGTCGGGACTAAGGGAGCGCCAGGGCAAGGGGCCCGATAGAGCGCTGTAGGTTTCATGTGTTTGGTCGTTGGTTCCACAGTTGTATGCTGGCTGGTTCCTAGTAGGTTGGCATGGGTTGTGCGCTCACGGGCTAGGTCAGTAGGTTCCCCCGGGGTAGCGGCCTCCACACCGTGGGGGGGAACACGGTGTGGCCCCGCGGAAGACTCGTCGGACTGCGGGAGTTCCGGTTGGATCGCAGGAGGACCATTCACCGGTGCAGTCGCGCTCGTACGGCGGCTCAGAGGGCAGCTGAGGAACCATCCCACCTGGTTCCGCCACCGTCCCGCGACATAAAGATGCTCCAACCGCTTTGGATCTGAAACAAAACGATCCCACCGAAAGGTAGGCCAAAAAAGCTGATTTATCAAATTCATGTGGAGTTGAAGGGCTAAACATCTGACGACCTCCCTCCGGACATGATGGCCCTTTACCAATATGCAAGTATTACGAGTCAGCGTCAAGAGTGTGTCGCGAAATCTGTGGTAAGTGGAACAGGTTTACCTGCGTGCTGCCAGGCTTACATGGTTAGCAATAGAAAGGGGACGAGTAGATGTTTCGATGCGGATTCTCGTGGAGAAATCTGTACGGAGCATGAATCGAGGTGGATTAGGGCCGACAAAACACCTCATTACCGTACCATCATACATCTCAGCAACGAGATTTGACGTTGTGCTAGCCAAATCGTACCCCTTCTCTTATGGATGCCTTGCACAGCTAGTAGTTCCCTCATTAGTTTGTATCATCGCGGTCGATTTAGGAGGGCGTGAGGAGGGCGGCAATGAGGCTTCCTGCAGCTTCCTTGCACTACCAATGACGATCGAGTGGTGATCGAGGTCAGAACAGTAGGGCCAATAAACGAATTAACACATTATTTTGCTTTATATGACCAATATCACGGAAGCACGGCTGCCATTGACGATAGAAACTATAAGTTATTCAACAAACTGTCGCTTTAATATAATATAGAAGTGTATTTAAAAGAAACCACGGGAATATCGAACTGCCTCATGGATGATTCACAGTACAAAAACTAAAACGAAGAGTGTTTTTCGCAGCCTGGAATCAGCACCGATTTCCGAAGCGATGAGTCCTCCCCCGTAAACATTGCTTCAAGTGGTTCAAAATATACCACTACAATTTGAGTCGACACAAAAAAGTGTTCGATTCAAAATGATAAAGGGGACACTCTCCAAATCAAATGGGATACTTTCCGAATCTTATCAGACTCATTCTCAAATCGGACACGCCCCTTAAATATGCAGTTGAATAACTAGAGCACATTAGGTCAGCTGCAAGCCCTATCTCAGCACCCCGCCCTTTCTCCAGCGCGGTCAGGTTTTCCGAGCCTATCTCAGCGCGGTCAGGTTTTCGGAAATCGTTTTGCAAATTCTGCTTCTGTGAATTTTGCACTTCTGCTATTTCGAACATAGCCATTAACTGAAAAGAATTGAGATACCGACACAGATACGACTCTGAAAACACTTTTTAATGAAGTTATTGCGATTTTTGACATTGTTTCTTCACATTCATTCTTCACAAAACAAATGTACTCTCGGATGTACATTTATACACTGACCCATCAAGGCCCGCCTTTTAGCCACGCCCACTTTTGCGACTTTTTACAAAATTTTAGTCTTTTCTACCGAATTTTCGCTTTTTCAGGCTGTAACAAGTAGCTCTGCCCCCACCAGAAACCCTGCGATCTTCACAAAGCTCTGCGCAGTTTTGGAAATAATCCATATCGGCACGCTAGAGCCAGAACTGACAGCTTATGTATGGTCTCCCCCGTGTCCGTGGCCCGCAACAAAAAACCAGGAAAGGTCTCTTCCAAGCAGCGGGCGAGACTACAACCAGTCACTGGAGACTGTAGCTCGCCGATCTGGATCACTTTTCAGAATGATTGTGGCTTACAGTAGCGGCGAGGCTACATGTTACAGTCCCGAAAAGACAAAAATTTTGATGGAAAGGTCAAAGTTTGGCAAAGACGCAGAAGTGGGTGTGTTCGGAGGGGCGGGGCTTAATTTGCCGTGCATAAAAGCATACCTAACAGTATATTCGTCTTGGAAAGAGCACATGCCAAAAAGCGACTTCAAAAAACTTAATAAAACTCAAACATTGCCACTGCTCAAAAAATTTTCTGAAATCCAAAAATTGCAATAACTTCACTGAAAAGCGGGCGGAAACGTATCTGTGTTGGTAAATGAATTCTTCTCAGTTAGTGTAGGTGCGAAAAGCAAAAGTGCAAAAAAAGTCACAGAAGCAGAGTTTACATAACGAATCTCGGAAAACTGACAGCCCTGAAAAGTGGGCGGGGGTCTGGGACGGGGTTACAGCAGTACCTGACGAGGTCTAGTTAATCAGCTGCCCGATGTGAAGGGCGCGTCTTCATTTGAAAGGTGTCTGATTTCGTTCGAAAAGTGTCCGATTTGGTTCGAAGTGACGGACTCAAAATTAAGATGTTATAAATCAGCCACAGAACAACTATGCGGACGTACTTTCGGGGCTGCGTACTATGATTCATCGGCGCATCGTTGAAATCCAACGTACACACTTGAATAACTGATCTATTTTGGCCCATCTTCCTGTCTATCGCAACGAAAATGAATGTACGCAATAGCTGAGAGCACTTAATTTATCTTACCATGATCAAATCAAGGTGATGGAGAGAATATTAGCTCCTCTAAAGGATAAAGCCTTTCCATTTGTGGGATGCCGTAGTGGCTTATCGAATGCTATGTGGCCTACACGAAGACCTGCGCGGGGCAGCCGATGAGCAAGTTAGTCCTTCCAGATGAATGTGGTACAAATTTACCGTTCCAAGAGAGTACAAGGTTCGGTTTGCCTTGACGCGAGTCGACCCGGGAGTTGAACCCAGGACTGCGCAATGGTAAGCGCACCACTTGTTACAACACCAGCTCGGCCTCATTAACTTCCAATAAGGAAAGCCATTGAATCGGTTCACATCACCGCGTTGAAAGCAGTGAAGGAAAGAAAAAGGTCGCCCAGTGTCAGTACTCTGTCAGGATTGAGACCCACTATTGTCAACAAAATGTGCTTTTAAAAGTTGTATGCTCCTCTCAAAGGGACCTATCTTCGGAAATTCAGACAACGATAAGGAATTTGTAATGAGTGCAGTCAAAAATCTACGACAAAGTGAACAAAAGATGAAGGTAACCTATAGCGAAAAGCGCGCCGTGAATCATCACGTAAGAATAATAGACCTATTGCTCGATCATGTGATTCAATTTAAATTTGAGAAGCGAAGAAAAGATGTTTGAGACACATTCATATGTAATGTAATATGAAATTAATACAATTACAAATGTATCACCCTTACGCGATATATAAACAGTTATGCACTGTAAAGCAGAGTAATTTGTACTCCATTGAACTGTACGAAGAAAAAGCATAGTGATGCCATCGCATTTTTTGAAAAAAAACACATTCAAGAAAGATAAGTACCTTAGAGGGGACACCCGAGGACCATAGTAGTTTATGATAAAGCCAGAGCCATCTGCTGGTTGTAAAAGTTGTAGAGCAATGAGCACTACATCAAATGAGCCAAAGAACGAATTTACAAAATCCACAACCAAATGAGGCCATAGAAGAAAATAGCCTCGCCAAAACGGGAAAAAAAAAACAAATTTTTTTTTTTTATAAATGCTGAATGCTATGATTTAGGATACTGTAAGGAACAGAGACACAAAAACAAAAGATATCTCGAAAAGAAAAAAAGATGTCGACAATAAAGGTTCGAAGCATAGTATCCAAGATACATTCTGTCAATACCCAAGAATCCAAGGAATATCGATAACAAGAGGGCTGTTGAATGATGAACGTGAGCATGATAGCTGCATGCATTTGGTTTCTTAAATTAAATAAAACTTAATTCAGCGTAAGCACCCAGAAAGGAATAAAGTAAGTATTATGTAGGCTGGCAAGTTTTTTTCACTCGCAAACTATAAGATCATTTTGTGGAACAAAGCGCTTTGAGCAGCACCTGATCAGTTTCTCCCACAAACACTGACAGTTACACTGCTTGGCGACGAGCCTTTCAGAGAAATATGAGAGTGCTGTGTATACACTCAACCCAGTAACTACCAACGTCAAAAAGTAGTTAGGCAAAACTGCTGACAATCAGTGTTGGGAAGAAGTTTGCCAGCAAAACATTAATTTTTGCCAAGATAAAGAAATAATAAAGTGGCAGACGTTGAAGTTCTGTGTTATAAGGTCAGCGATTGGTAAGACTTCACCAGCAATGTAACCAGAGTTGGACAGTGTTCATACTTTGCGTCAGCGTGTTCAGCGTACGGTAGCGTTTTGGGCGACTAGGGAGTATAGGTAGTTGGGGCAGGTCGTACAGGTCGTCTTGAGAGGACGCTGAATCAGTACTTATACTTTCCTGATCACTGAAAACGCTAGCGTACGCTCAAAAAGCTGACGAAAAGTATGAACGCACTTTTGTATTTCGGGTACAGGAATGTTGGGTAATTGTAACAGGGTGACTCTTAGAAATTTAGCTCCCTAGAAGTGGTGGAAATTTGGATGAAAAGGGCTTCTAGACACTTACATGGAAGATAGCAGATAAGTGAAAACAGCATCCTATTTTCTGCGGTATGAGGTGCATTTATTCGAAAGGTCGCACAGACGCACGCGAAAACGTCCAGTCACACTAGCAACAGCTTTTGCTTTTTTGTATGCTGAACCCCCCCCCCCGCTTACGGATTTTCAAATTTTCTGAATATTTAATAGGGATGAATTGATGACATGAAAGTGGGCACTGATATGATCATTCATAATCCGATGACATGAAACTATATCAAAAACCGTTAGCAATTCAAGGACATCAACCTACCGATGCATGAAAGCCGTTTATAATACAAGGGCATAAAAACCTAAGTTTTCGAGCAAACCTTCCGTGGCGCCTGAGCGAAGGTGCCCCTTTTACACGAGTGCCCCCAAACCCCAGAAAATCGCTTACACAGATAGAATGATAAAGGTGAAAAAAATTGACACCATGTATACAACTAAAGCAATTCGAAAAGTAACTCACCGATAAATGAAAATAACGAGTTCCATTGAGTAGTCCACGGCATTGAATACCATTTGCTACTTTACAAGTAACTAAAATATAAGCATTAAAATGTGAGAAATATTGAAAGGTATCGATCAAGCAAAAGTGGTGTAAACTGAGCACAGAAGCTAAAGAAGAACAAACCGGTTACAGAATTGTCTACATTACAGTTCAACGGTTGCTGTGTCTCAGGATTTATCGCAGGAGGTTCGCAAGCATATCTGAAATATAAGGGGTGGTTAGAAAAGGAGCGAAATTGCTTGTAAGCAGGTGTTTTTGAGAAAAGCACATAATAGGTCGCCAACAGTCGCCGATTGTAGAAGTTTTAGGAACTGCATCGTTTGTAGGTTTTATTCAAAATGTACCTTGTTGTGGAAATCTTTCTTTCTGGCAGACGGCGAAAAAAGTAACGGAAAAATTTCCGGCACTATTCAATTATACTACCCCCTTCTTCCGAAAACGGCCATTCTTTCACCGAATTTGGGGGCATATTTGCCTGAAAATTGTTTCCAGGAGTAGCTCCACCCTCCTAAACACGAATGTAGCATCTGCTTGGCCAAGAACTACCTGGCACCCGCGCCACAGGCGTCAGAGCCAAAAAACCCTAAATCACCACGTTCGATGAAAACTTGTCCACAGGGAGGGGCTGTTCGACTTTCTCAACATGAACACGGCGCCACACGCGCCGGCGCCAAAATTGAATGGAAAAACCCTTTTTTTTTTTTGTAATACGGGAGTTATTTGACATTCTGATTTGTGGAGTGAAATTCATTCCTGACGGAGGACAACACAATCATCTGCGCTCTGTTAAGGCAGAACCTGGTCCGAACGGAATCACCTTCTCTTCCAGGCTCAGCCTTAGCAAAGCGCTAAATCGAAAAAAGGGTGCCATATTTGTGACTCCGGCATTAAACAGCCCCCTTATGCACATTGCCATCGATCTTGGTGAAAAAGGGTATGGCGCCAAATGATGCCAGAGCTAAAAAAATGCCATGCTCGTGCTCACAGAGCTAAAAAAATGCCATGCTCGTGCTCAGAGCACTGAATAAGCCCCGTACACAAGTTTACACACCGATTATGGTGAGAAATGTGTTGGCGCAAAAGGCGTCATGGTCAATAACGAGTGTCATACTCGTGATCAGACATCAAATAACCAGTACAGGCAAAGTTTCAAAAAATTTTTCGGGTTTGTAGGATAGTGACAGTTGAACAGTACTGAGCAGGTTTAGTACAGGTCAGAAAACCTTCACAAAGGTGAGAGTAACCAGCAGTTTCATCATCGTTTTTTTTAAATTGAGGGGCATCAGGCGTTGAATAGCAAGTATAGCGCCAGTGCAAGAATTCCTTTTTCTATGGTCCTAAAGTACATAAAAAGGAAGAAACGAAAGAAAGAGCAACGTACTGGAAAGTCCTAAGCGATTGGCATGATTTGAGTGGATCTGTCTTCGATGGTTCACTAACGGACAAATAAACTGTGTAGCCCAGAATGACTGCCCATAGCAAGGCTCGGAAGTTGGGAAATCTGACCATCGCATTGCCCTATCCTTATCCTGGAAAATGAAATGGATCTACAGCAGAACCGTGGACATA